TTTTTTTTTTTTTTTTTTTTTTTTTTTTTTTTTTTTTTTTTTTTTTTGTTACATCATCGCATACATATGTAAAAGATGTTTAGCGCATACGTATTACATATACATTGTACATAGAGCAGAGAAGATGATGATAATTTCGTTGACGGAAGGTATGTTTGTTTGTTTGTTTGTTTGTTTGGTTGGTTGGTTGAGAGTAAAGCGAACGCGAGACATTGAGAGAAAATGGGAAAGAGACAGAGAACAAGAGGTTTTTGCATTTGAACACACATAGTTTAGGACACATACATACCTATATATATATCGCTACATATTTACATACATATTATATAAAAAGGAAAAAAAAAGGGAAAAAAGCACACCGAACACAAAAGATGAAAATATGAATGCGAGCATATGGAAGGGCATAATAATAAATACATATGTATAGAAGCAGGCAAAGTGCTAAAACAAGTGCTGTGAGTTTCCGCGAGACAAGCAAAAATACCAAAGAGTCGTTCGCTTTGGTATTTTTTGATTAAATTCTGTAAAAGACCTCAATTGCAGGCACACTTTGAGAAATTATGCACTTTTATGAACATTTTATAAATTCTTATTTCAATACATTGTATGTTTGTACATATATATATATATTACACCATACATATGTGCGTGCATGCATACCTATTTGCGTTCATATAACTGCATAACTATTGCGCCGACAGTTTTATGATAAAGTGAATGGTATGATAAATGAATAAAAGTTTCTATTTTTTTCCTTGTAGAGCATAGAGTACCAAAGTGCTGATTCTCCAAACTCCCCCCCCCCCCCCTCCCCCACCCAATCGCCTTTTTTTTTTTTATAAAATGCTACCACCAATGGATAGGTGGTTGTTTAAACTTTTCTAATTATTGTGGACAGTTGAAAAAATTGATTTTTATATAGATATCTTTCTTCGGCCCCTAACCACCCATTGAATATTATTCAAAGTATTGAATAATAGCAAAAAAGTGCAAGCATTTAACACCTTGAATAGGATAATACACTTTACGACTATTTGTTTTTAGCTCTATTGACGAACGGAAATTTATTAATTTGGTGGTTCCGCTTGCAACACAACCCTGCATGTGCATGTTTTTGGTTTGGCATAAGACTAAAACATGAAGGTGAGTTAGACATGCAATCATTTGATCGGTCTATAAGTTTATCTATTTATGCCACATTTATTAAAAGTTTCCTTGTCCGTCCATCGGTCCTGTCTGTTTTGCCGTTCGTTTCTTAGTTAGTAGTCCATACGTCTCTTTATCTTTCAGTGCATTTACCTATCTGCTCGTCTAATCATTCATCCATCCTTCCGATTAATTATTAACTTACTGGCTGTCGTTCATTCGTCCGTTTGTTCCTTTTCGCATCGGCATTTCTCTTCATTTGTTCGCTTTTTAAGTCATTTGCTATCCGCTCAGTCTATCAATTCATCCGTTCGCCGGTTCTTTCACCCACTAGCCAAATACTGATTCATCCATACATTTGTTTATCTGACAGCACATTTGTCTACCTGCTCGCCTTCCCATTCAACCATTTAGCCGCATAAGCATCAATCTACTCATTGATCGTCCATCCGTTCCTTCTTTCATATTTTCGCAAACATTTCTATTCATCACCTCGTTTTTCGATGCATACGCTTTCCTATCAATTCATCAGCCCGCCCAACCATTCATCAGTTTTTCCGTTCACTACCCAAATATCCGTTTATCCAAACAATTTTTTTCCAACTCGTCGCTTATTCATCAATCTCCCGCATATCCGTTTATCAACCACTTCGTATTCGTGAATTGTCCCGTTTTTCGTGAGTCTGATTATCAGTCCGTCCATTCAATGATTTGTCGGTTCATTCCTCGATTATTCAGTTCTCTATTTGTTTATTAACGCATCCACTCCACTTAGCCTAAGCATCTCTATGTCCTTTTAACTATCCGGCTTTTTATCCCTCCGTTTAACCATCCAATCACTATTCATTCCTATATCCGTTTGTTAGCCCGTCCATTCAACTGTTCCTATACAGTATAAAGCATTCGTATAGCAAGCATTTTTTGAAAGTTCATTAACCGGTCCCTCCATCTACTTATTCGACAATCGCTTATCTGTCCATTCATGCACTATTCATCCTTTCGCTTATGCATTCTTACGTCTCTTCATTATTCCGACAAATCAACTGTACGTACATCCATGCACCTGTCAGTTTGTCTATTCGTCTATTCGATCATTTGCCCATTTATTCTCCTTTCATCTGTCTATTCGCTTACTATCCATTTATTCGTAAGACTGGTGCGCGTTTTTTGCTCTATCGTCCATCTGTCCATATGTACATCTGCTCATCTGTCCACCTGTCCATTTGTCCCCCTACTCATCTTTTAAACTGTCCATTTATTTGCCTTCCTACTCATCTGTCCAACTCGTACATGCTCTCTCGTACATTCTTCTAATAAGCTTGTCATCTTTTCAATCGAAGGTTTGTTTACTTATTTGTATTTTTTTTTTTTTTTTGGAAATTTTGAACGTAGAAAAAAAGCAGAAATAAACATTTACTACAAACAAATATATTCTTATTTGAAATTGACAAAAATTTAAAAATTAAAACAAAAAAAAAAATTTGGTAAATTTTAAAATCTATCGACAACAGTTTCCGATCTATAGGTAATAACTATATATATTTACTATAGCCCCAGAGATCTAACTGATATGAACTCGCAAGTAACGCAAATACATTACTCGCATCCGTTTACGTTTAGTTATTGTGAACGGTGAAGGTGAACGGTATGGTATGCAAGACTCTCAACCTATGACTTTCCTAGTTATTTAACAACTAAATCAGTCGTGATCTGTCGTCGATGTTTGAGTTTTAATGAAACATTTTTTTTCAATCTTTATAAAAATTGATCATTTTTCATTTCATCTTCTTCAACAATCTTTGGGTTTATTAAGCTAACTTACAACACTCCTCTGCACTCGAATGCTTATTCATCTGTCTGCGCTGCTTATATGTTGATATATGGTTTAATAAAGTTGTTGTTTATTTAATGTATTATTTAATAAGCCATTACCGCAGTGAATATGCCAAAGCCACATAATGTCAAACATAAACAAGCGTACATATACAATTAACCTACGTATGGATGTATGTATGTATGTATGTATGTATGTATGTATGAACAAAAAATAAAAACCTTCAAACCATGAACTAAAATGTTGATGTTGATGTCGCTGCTGCTGCTGCTGCTGTTGCTGCTGCTGATGATGATGATGATAATAATGTTTCTGATTCTGATGAAGTTGCTTTAACTTATTACCTCGCCATTGCCGCTACAATTAAAATTGCGTAGTGAACCTTAATATTAATACCATCAAAAGAGATTCGGTGGTTTTGTGGTGCAGTGTTCTGCACTGAGAGCTAACATGTAATAAGCGTTTAATGTATGGCATCACAGCTTTACCAGTTACCAGTAGCAATTGCCAGTAAGTATGTGTTTAAGCACGTATGTGTCAATAATTATTGTTAACGATGTGTGGCTTTGTTAAGTGACATTATACACGTATTAGTTATGTATGTATAAATGTAGCCAAATGCATAGAAAAAAAAAAAAAAAAAAAAAATTGAAAAAAAAAACAAAATAATAATAAAATGTTCAATTATCCACGGCCTATTAATTAAGGAATTAATTAATTAAGTAAAAAAAATTCATTGGATTTTTTCATTCATATTTTAACAAATTCCACTGAAACACAATTCAATACGAAATCATTATTACTTTCACTCGTTCGAAAATATTACAAGCAAATCATTAAGCCAAAGGCTAAACAAACGAAATATTAGCAAATCACAGGACGTTATCTAAAAAGCAGATAAGCAATTGAAGCGATATACGGTCTATATAGATATCTACTATAACCTATTAACATATTATTGCTTTTCACTAAATCATGCTTTATTGACTTTTGCGAAGACAACAATAGCTATATAGCATATATGCATTGTATGACGTGTTGAGTTGAAACAATCGATTCATTTTCAATATTAAATACGTATTATGAACATTAAAATTGTATGTAAATTGATGATTTAATCTATCGTTAAAATCGGATTACATTAACTTAACCTTTTGAATTAATTCGAGCGTAGGAAATACTTTACATAAAATATTGCGTTAAAAACATCCGGAATCGTTATGCTTAAAGTAATGGTCTGGTCTTTCGATCACTATATGATTCTGGTTTAGAAATAAAATAAGTTTTCAAAATGTGACTCATATGGCTTACAATACAAGCACACTAATGCTTGGTCAGTGCAGCTTTTCTCATCTTTTCGATTCGATTCCGTGAAATCAGGTCGCCAAAATGCCTTTAGGGTATTTCCGTTTATGCGTTCAATCAACTTGAAGTAACCGCTCCAAGATAACAATTTCATCTCCCAAGACCCAGTTGCACTGACGCTTAAGTCACCTTTTCGTAAGCCAATCGAAGAAAAGGTGGCAAACTCCCTTCAACCCAGGAGATTAGATATGTAAATATTACAACGGAAATCAACTTCCTTCAAGTAATCGCTCCAAGGTAAAAATTTTACGTCCCACGATCCACGTGCACTAAGGCTTCAATATAAAGCGGCATTCGAACCCGTAAACTCAAGCGAGGACCGTGGAGGCAGCGTCACATAATAACGATAAAGAATCCCGAAGACTTCATCTCGAGGCAATGCGAAAACGGTTCTTCGACGGTATGAATCGAGTGTGGCGCCACTAGTTGGCAGTGTGCTGTCACTGCGTCCATTAAAAAAAAAAAGGCAGACAAACGAACGGGCAGACAGACAAATAGACTGACAGACGGACATACTTAAATCGGTTTAGAATT